GTTGTAGCCCTTTTAATACTTGAAATTTAGCCACTGGTTTCATCTCAAACAAATATTTATAACTCAAGTTATGTCCATTTTACTAACAGATGTTCTAGTTGTCACCTTAGGAGGTTGCCCTGTTCCAACAGTCATGAATTTTGATTTACTGAGACTTATGAGTGTAAAATTAAGACTTGACTCCTTCATAAAAGTTATATGAAATTGTATTTCTGAAATTTAGAAATTGGTTTCATGTTAATAACTTATGTGTAGCATGAGATATGGTCAAATTACTAAGGTATATTCAGAGTGTTAGTGTAGTTGAGCCCTATCAGAAACAGCCACTGTAAACTGAAAATTGACACTATTCTATAGGGTATTTGAACTTAATTTCTCTATAAAAGTTGTAGATAAATGAATCCTTGAAATTTAGAAACTGGTCTCATGTTAAAATATTAAATATATCTTGAGTTATGGCAAAAACACTGAACCTTGTGTAATCTACTAGAAAATTTCCCTGTCATGACTTTGACCAATTTTATTGTACAATCTATCTTGAATTAGGCTTTGAATTCTTATTAATATTGTAGATAATTACGTTATTGAAATTTGGGCTTTGAACTCATGCCAAAACAGTCTATATAACTCTAGAAAATTCCAAAATACTAAACCTTGGTCATGTTCGCCATTAGGATTTTAAGTGTAAGGTGAATGTGAGCTTAACATATTACCAAAAATGGATTAACAAAAAAAAATGAGTTTAAATTCACACGAGATAAAATCAGAGAACTATAAGGTTCTAACTAGCGTTTCATTATGTGTATAGATTTCATCAAAAATCAACTTCAAGCATTGGAGAGAACAAACGTGGATGTAACAGGTAAGGGGTGGACTATGTAGTAAGGATTACATCATAAACTTGTTTAACCTTACTTGTTGAAATTGTCTAAATTTTGTTATGATTGATGATTGTGATTTCCTTATATGCTTAATTTTGATAATAGTTTGCTTATGTGTTTGGTGGTGGAAATATTTGTTTGATACTTCATTAAGACATAAATTGTGTTATATGATATGAAATGTCTTTGAGTGAGCATTTATGTGCATGGTGATTTTTCAGGAGAAAGTTTAGTGAAAATAAATTAAAATGATTGAATGATGGATTGAGAACCCTTATAAATTGTATTAGGAAGTTTTTTTATTGTTACAGGTATTTGAAAAATTTTGGAAAGTCCGTATTACAGGGAAAACTCTATCGAAATTGTGAAAAATATTCAGATTTAGAAATTTTTTTAATCATTCTCGAACAAATTTACGAATTTGGGAATATGAGACTTTTCTAAGAAAAACCACTTAGGAACTCATACATTAGTCATCCGAAGACAGTATTTTGTGCAAAAGGGGAATCAGAGACTATGGACTCTAGGAATACAATAGGGAGGCCCTGAGGGAAGACTTGGGGAAGAGTAGTGGTTGGAAGCCCTAAAAGACTCAGGCTCGCTACCTGTTGTCAGAAATCTCACTGTGCAAACTCTCCTGTATCTGGCTGTGCTCTTGCCGTATATCATGATCAGTGAGCTATTAGGTTCATAGTTGAGCGTGGGTCTCAAAAATCCCATGAGTGGATTTCCATACCTAGTAGTGTCAACTCCTTGCTACCCCAGCGCTGATTTAAGAAATGATTTGGGCCTGCATGCATGGACATTTTAGAAAAACAAACTAGGATCATACACCATCATCATCATTTATTTGGAATGCGATTGATCTATGAATGTTTATAATGTTTGATTTTAACGTGATGTATGAACTATAGCTCACTATCATTTTTCTATTTTCTTTATTTTCTCTGTACCTGCAGTACTCATTGGACCTGATCGTTTACCATATTTAGCAGAGGGAGATGGCCCAGATTCCACACCAAATGAATATGACGATCAAGCTCATTAGCCCGGAGCCACATTAATGGCAGCACGATTGGGATAAATACACCCATATTTTTGCAGGCATACTTACTATATTTTTTAGGAGAGCGGCACCAGGACTCAGAGGTGGTGTCCCTATTACCATAAGGACTAGACTAACCCTTGACTTAGATAATAATAATCCTTTGCAGCCTATACCACTACCAATTCCCCCTCCAGTTGAGGAGGAGGAAATGAATATTGATATTCCGGAGGATTATGATCTTTTAAACACTGATGAGTCTAACAACTCGAAGATGGACTCAGGTGAGGGAGATTAATCTCCTGAGTCTGAAGATATAGATTCAGAGTAGGACTGATACTACTTTTTTTGTTTTTTTGTATAGTGACAAAGGTTAGTCGTAGGCATTTTTGTTGTACATAGGCCTTTATGGTACTGGGTAGAATCCACTCTTTTTGTTTAGTTGTGTTGCTTTGTAGGAAGTCATCCCTGTTGTCCTTATTATTTTGAAGAACTATAACTAATATTTTATCTGTATGTAATTATACTGCTAGGTGAAATGGTAATTGAGTTCTTCAGTATACAGTGTTGTGTAATGCGGGAAACTTATTGACCATTTTGCCCTTTGTATTACTATAAAAGGATGTCTAAACACTTATGAAAGTTTGCCTTAAGTACTTTATGCAACGACGAAATTCTAAAATGTGTAATTGAAAATTTACTTGTTAAAGTTTATTTTTGTAATTAATGGTTTAATACATCGATATTTTGTATGACGGGAAGATTATTAGTATAAATAAAATTTTTACTAAAAAAAATCACTAATTCTCTAATTGAGGGTTTATAAAGTAAAGTGTTACAATGAAAATGATTCATACTTGATGAGTAGTTTGTTCATGTCAAGTATGAGTGAAAAAGTCTCGGATAAGAATGAAGAAGTTAAGTAACATATAAGTAAAAAGAAAAAAAAAATAGAATTCAATGTTCTTAAAGTTTTTGGTTAAGTACAAGGTTTTAAGTTTACTTGTATAATTTATTTGAGAACTCAAAAGTTATCTCTTAAGACAACACCAGTTTGAAATCTTTACCAAGCATAAACATAAAACAACACATAAATAACACATGTATAGAAAAAGAATACATTTGAAATGACAGAAATAATAGAAAGATCATAAGATTTATATAACATTATTATTTAAGCTAATGTATAACCTAATGTTGTTTTAATTATAGAATGTGATGTATTTTGCATTTAAATTCTTATATTGATAGGACAAATATATAAAATGGTTTAAACTATTATTTGGTAGAGAAAATATGAAATGATTTTGACCTAAATAAAGAGAAAAAAATTAGCCAATATTCAAACTAGCAGCTAGTCAAACTTTGTTCTTAGATCAGAGATTAATTAAAGTAATTATTATTATTTATCGTATATAATCACATTAATAAAAAAAATTTACAAACTCAAAAGCACACTATTTTCTTTTCTTTTAGTCAAATTGTACCAAGTTTTTAATTCTCACAATATCTTTCAACTAGATCCTCTTAGTCCAAATTTTTCAAAAATTTCTCAAGTCATAATCATAAATAAAAGATGAAAAAAGAATGATAATAAAAAATGATTTATGTGATTAAAACTTCAAAAAACAAAGTTTGTATTTTTTTCATTTTTATAGCTATATATTTATGAGTGACCATTATTTTATTAGGTATTTATAAATATTGTGCAGTTTTATACAAGAAGGCTACAACTAGGTTTTGGGTGCATTTTAGGGCCTAAATTAGATGAAAAATTAGGCTTCGTAACAGCCAACACGCCTATGCCCCAACAGCAAGTACATGTATACATCAGTACACATGCATAGCTGTGCTTATGCTCATACACAACCGTTCTTAGTTGCAGGAAGTCCAAAGCAATATTAGAGGTTTCCAAACCCTATTAAAGAGACTTGAGGGGTTGTAACTTAATAATTCTTTTGATATATCTCATACCTCACATTTCTTTTTACATCCTCAATCTTAATTGTTCTCTTTTAATCGTTATGAAATTAATAGTTCATAAACTCTTTATGCTTTCTATTCCTTTTACCTTGCATAATCATTGGAGTAATAACTTAGGGAAAAGACTATTAACAATGCATGATCATTGGATGTTAATAGATTTAGTATGAGTGGTTGGCATCATAAGGAAACCAAAATTGGAATTAATTTTAAAGTGAACATAGAGAAGTATAAAGGTGAAACCATAGGCCCTGGGTAATGTTAGAAATTGCGCTATTTTAATTTATTTTAATTAAGTTTTATATTTAAATTCTTGTTTTATTTAATTTCACATCCTTTAAGTTTAAACATTTAGTTAAGAAATTCTTGGTAATTGGAAATAATCTTTGTGGAACGATGTTTTGGAAACTTATTTTAGAACTCTTTATTACTTTTTAACGGGTACATTTGCCCACGAATAAGTTTTGGATGCCGTTATCGGGGATTATTTTTAACAAAATCTTATATTTAATTTATTTGAGCAATTATTATTTTGTTTTAGTTTAATTTAATTTTATTTATTTTTATCTTTGCTTTTTTAATTATTCTCTTATTTTTTTTTATTTTTTTTTTCCATGTATGCTCACTCATTGTAAGTCTCTCGCAAAATTTATTTTTGACCAAGGAATTGAAAAGACTGCATGAAGGCTAAGAAAATAGTGTAAAAGAAAAAAGATTACAAAAAGGAGAAAAAATCTAAGATTATATGACATCACAGCTGAAGGTGATAGTAGAAGCATTATAGCCCTTGATGTAAAAGCTAACAATTTTGAGTTGAAGTCGACTTTAATCAATTTAGTTCAAAATTCTACACTATTTGGAGGGCTAACTGATGAAGACCCCAACTTCTATTTAACAAAGTTTCTTAGACTCAAGGACACCATAAAGTACACCGGTGTGACCAAAGATGTTGTAAGGCTCACTTTTTTCCATTCTTTGTCATGAAAATGGTGAACGCATGGTTCTCCACACTCCCACCAAACTCAATTACAACATAGGAGAGCCTAACACAACAATTCTCAGCCAAGTACTTCCCTCCATCATAATCCGTTAAGCTTATGACAAAGATTTCTAACTTTCAACAATATGAGTTTGAATCTCTGTTTGAAGCGTGAGAACGATTCAGAGAGCTTTTGAAGAAATGCCCACATCATGGCTTCCCCATATGAAAATAGATGCAAATTTTCTATAGTGACTCTCACATTCTAATAGAGTCACAATTGATGCACCAGCTAGAGGAGCCTTCATAAGAAAAGAACTAACTGAGGCTTACATATTGATAGAAGAGATGGTAGCCAGCAATTTTCAATGGCATACAAACCCTAAACCCTCATAGAGGCAAAAGGAAGGAAGTTGCTCTAATCTATCAGACAGAAAGCCAAAATTCAATAGCAAATAAGCTGAAGACTCTGTCAAAATAGATGAGATTTCTGTTAAGAGCACAAAATTCATCAACAAAATTCTCTACAACTTAGGCAACAACCATAATTCAGGATGGTGTAATAAGGCCACCAATTTGTGGGAGAATGGCCAAAGAGGCCAAAGTTCAAATGCTTATCATCCTCCCTATATGCAACCTTAAGGAGCAAGATCAGAGAAGGGAGAAGTCTCAAACTTTCAATTGGAGCAAATAATATCAAAACTTAAATTGCAGATGGAACAACAAAACTTTTGATTAGAATAATATGCCCAAGTAATGGACAAAAGGTTCTTAGAGATAAGTTTTAACATGAAATATCAGTCATTAGAAATAAAAGCATAACTTACTAATCTTTTGAGTCAAAGGACCTTAAGAACACTGCCAATCCAGCTAGAACCTAATCCAAAGGAATAATGCGATGCCATTACTCTTAGAACAGAGGCACATAGTTTCAAGATATGCACGCCCTTGCTTATTGATGAACACACTCCTGCATTTGAAGAAGCACGACTGTGCTACGATAAGCACAGTCATGCATACTCACATGCAAGGTTGTGCTTCAAACACAGAAACTGAGCAAAAGAAGAAAGAAGAGCCATTTGCATTGTCAAGGCCTTAACAACTCAAAATTCCTTTTCCTCAGAGGCTAAAGAGCAATAAAAGAGATCCACAGTTCAATAAGTTTCTAGAGATCTTGAACAAGTTACACATAAACATCCTTTTTGTGAAGGCTATCTCTCAAATGCCCAAATACACTAAGTTCCTCAAAGAGATATTGAGCAACAAAAGAAAGTTGAAAGAATTTAAAATTGTGAGGCTTAATGAAGAATGCTCAGCAATTCTTTTGAAAAAGCTATACCCAAAGCTCAAAGATCTAGGGAGTCTTACTATTTCTTGTACTATAGGTAGCTCTCATGTTGAAAAAACTTTATGTAATTTATGGGCAAGTATCAATGTAATGTCTCTCTCTATTTTTAGAAGGTTAGGTATGCAAGAACTCAAACCTACCTCTGTGTCTTTGCAATTAGCAGATCGCTTTATTACTTACCTAAAAGGTATAGTAGAAGACGTCCTGGTAAAGATGGATAAGTTTATCTTCCCTGCTAATTTTGTGGTGCTTGACATGGAAGATGATGATGATGTCTCCATCATCCTAGGCAAACTCTTCTTGGCCATTGTAAGGGCTATCATAGACGTTCAAGAAGGAATGTCCACTTTGAGGCTAGATGATGAGAAAGTCATTTTTCAAGTTTTTAATTATTTAAAGTACCATTCTAGACAAGAATCCTATAATTGTGTGAGCACTATGAATATTGCTTTTCCTTCTATTTCTAGAAAGCATGAAACACCAAGAAGAAGGACAAAGAAGAATTAATCTGAGGATGAGGAAAGACAAAAGGCTCAAACCACTCACTGATAAACCCCCAAATTTGGAGCTTAAAATTCCTCTTCTTTATTTTAATTCTCATCCTCTTTCTCATTCCATGATTAACACTTCTAATGTGACATATGTTATGGGAGAAAAGTTGCTAGAAAGACAACTACACATCAACTCATGTTTCCTTCTCACCATAATCTAACAAGACTGTCAGACTTACAGGAGGCAACTTGGGTTGTTTATTTTAGTTTTAGTTATGTTGCTTTACTTATTTTAATTTTATTTTGTTTATTATTTTTTTAGATGAAGAATAAGCATACTAAGAGCTCAAAGGAGTTTAGTTAATCAATAACCATGCACTTTTTTTTGGACTTGTGTAATACATGACAATGCTTAGAGACATGCATGGTCGTGTGTGCCGTCATAATAGGAGAATTAAGGCTTTATATTATGAGCACGGGTGTGCATACTAGTCAGCATGGCCGTGTTGATTCACTAGAGCTAGTGTGCCCACAGAATTCCAATTCAAAGTTCTCAATTAGGCACTTTTAATAAGCTTATCAGGGAGTCCCTCTCTTTTCTATCTTAATTGACTTTCTTGGATGCATTTAATTGTTCCAAACATTGAGGACAATATTTTACTTTAAGTATGAGGGAATTCCCAATAATATGATTGTTATTGCATTTTCTTAAGTAAGTGTCTGTGTCTCTTTTTCATGATAATTTGAAACTTTTACCTTTATGAAACCCAATTTTCTTAGATAAAAGAGCATGTTGAGTGATTATCATTAGAATAAAGTTTTCATGTGGAAATTAATAATTAGCTAAGTTCCCTACTTTTTGCTCTATATTAAACTTTAATCCACAAATGTGAGTATTAAGCCTTAAAGAGAATTTTTATCCTAATTTTATTAATTATACTGATTATCTCATTATTTTATGTGATTATCCCTTTAGAATTTGTGCTCTAAAACTTGACTTGTAACCAATTTGAGGCTATTATATTTTTATTACATGTTTTAATATGATTGAGACATATTAAGATTATATTTTTCTTGGCTTTCAGTATATTTGAGATAGATATATAACTAGCTGCCCACTTTGAGCTTTATTGATTATTCTTTGTTCTTTGCAATGAAATTATAAAATATTTTGATGACCTTGAGTTTATAAATGAAACAATTGGGTTGTTAAATTATTTGTTAAATTCTCCTCTTCTCTTATTTGTAAAAAGAAAGAAAATACATGTAAATATAAAAGAGAATAAAAATAGCAAAAAAAAAAAAAAAAGATTACAAATGAATAAAAGGATGAGAGAGTAAAGAAATTGATTGAATATGAAATATAAAAAATTACTCTAAGAGCTTTATTTATAAACTTAAGAGATGTTTGTAATTTCTATGATTTATTACCCCTTTATATATCAATTCCCTTCATTTATCTCACCTCAATTATTATAACTATTTGGCTATATTACAACCTGAAAAAAATTTCCTAATTTTTACTTGCATTCAATTTAATTAGTGAAGAGTCAGTTTATGGTCAAGCCTATGGTAATACACTTCTCTTTTGGAGGAACTAAGTGATATCTCATTTGATCCTAGACACTTAGAGAGAGAGGAAAGTAGAGCATCCTAATTTGATGTTTGAACAAGATGTTATAGAACATAAGATTCTAATTGGGAAACATTTTGATTACTTATACTCAATAATATTACTCCTTTTGTTCTTTTTATCTCCTTTTGTCTTAGATTCCTTATTATGGTGATCTATTTCAAGTTGTTCCCTTATTTTTAGGTAGGACTTTGCTTGAGAGCAAGCAAATCTCAAGTATGAGGAGTTGATAAGTTTGTATTTTGACATATTTTTATAGCTTATATATTTATGAGTGATTATCATTTTATTAGGTTTTTACACTAATTTCTATAAATATTGTGCAGTTTAATGTGAGATGACTACAACTAGATTTTGGCTACATTTTGGGCCAAAATTAGATGAAAAGTTGGACTTCGCAACAGCTAGCACGTCCATGCCCTAACAGCAACCATAGGCGTACTTCAATACATGTGCACAATGTGCTTATGGTCATACACGATCGTGCTTACTTGCTGAAAGTCCAAATCTAAAGCAATATTAGAGTTTTCAAACCTTATTAAAGAGACTTGAGGGGCAATGACTTAATAATCCTTTTGATATCTCTGAAACCTCACATCTCTTTTTACATTTCCAATTTTGGTGTTGGTCAGTCGCTAACGACTATTGGAGCTTTGGAAACGTGTCTTGGACCAAGAGCTCTTCTCGCCTTTTCTGTATTGGAAACTCCTCTAGTATGCATTTGCTTTTCGATTATTATGGATTGATTTATTGTTTTGGTTTTCTTTTATATTATGTCTAACTAAATCCATAGTTAGGGCTATTTTATGCATTCTTTTCATGACTTTATGAGATCTTTATGATTTATGATAATTTTGTATTTTTGCTTTTGATTGGTGTCTATCCTATTGTGCTATATTTGTGTGTTAAAGATCCACAAAAGGAAAAGCACTTGCCATTCGTTGGTTATTAGGGGCATCTCGAAAACGTCCTGGTCGAGATATGACTTTCAAATTAAGTTCCGAATTATTGGATCTTGTCAAAGGGAGTGGCAATGCCATACGCGAAAAGGAAAAGACTCATAGAATAGCAGAGGCAAATAGAGCTTTTGCACATTTTCGTTAATCCAAAAACATGATCTATATAGACACATAGACCCATGAATCCATATATCTTGATCGAAAACAAATTAAAATTAAACAATATATCTCTTGAAACAAACAAAAAAGAAACGAAATATCATAATTAATTATATTGTAAGTGATCATACGACGTATAGTTAATAGATTTATAGAGTAAAATGAGACAAAGGATTAGGTGAATCAAAATTAGTTTTTCTTTTTCAGTTGTTATTAAATTAACGGCTCATAGGCTCTTTATGCTTTCTCTTCTTTTCTCTTCTTTCTCTTTATGGTCATTGGGTGTTAATAGATTTTTGTATGAATGGTTGACAATTATAAGGAAATCATAATTGAAATTAATCTAAAAGTGAATATAGAGAAGCGTAAAAGTGAAACCATAAGCTCTAGGTTCTTCTCGATTAAGTTTATTTTTAGAAGTTGTACTATTTTAATTTCTTTTTAATTAATTTTATATTTAAATCTTTATTTTATTTAATTTCGCATCCTTTAAGTTTAAACAATTAAATTATGAAATTTTTTGTAATTAAAAACAATCTTTATAAGATAATATTTTAAAAAATTATTTTAGAACTCTTTATTATTTTTTTGACGGATACACTTGCCTACGAACAAAAGACAACGACAAGTTAATAATTCTACTAGACATACATGTGGAACAAGATAAATTATTCAACACAAAAATGACTATCATAATAGAATTGCATACATAAAGGACAAATAAAACAAGATATAGAATTTGGACTCTTCCACAATAAAATTAACTTAACATTTTTGTGAAATATATGAAAATAAGTTTATTTGATTATCTACTAAGAAAATTAGCAAAGAAATCACAATAATTTAGATAATATTCTTATCCTTTAAACTTATTACTAATGAATTTCATTGATTTCACACATTATTTCTCTAGTGATTGGGAATGAAACATGTTGAAGTTATATTTACATATAGTGTTTGTCATCCTCGTACATCTTGCATGGTCATTTTTTGGTATATTAAATGAGGAGACGTTTAACATGTTTCAAATGTGCCAAATGAGTATAAACATTTGCATGATAAAAAGGTGATAACAATTTTTTTTTGCCAAATTTCAATAAATTTTTTTTGGAATAATGTATTATATATTTTTAAACCATAAGTTTCCTAATATTGGAATTTTTTTGGATAGCTAGACTTGTTTATTATATAATTTAAGTTTAGGATTTTTTAAAATTATTTTTTAAGAGAATAGGGTTGATCAAAGCTGCTTTTGGTCAAATTTTATAAAATAATTCAATGCTAGGTGAGTTAAATTATGTCGTATTATTAGAAATAATGATTGTTAAACTAAGTATCGTATGCACACTAAATCTAATATTAACCATAATAAAAAAGGAGAGTTGAAAGTTGATTGATTGTTATTAAAAAAGTAGAACAAAGCAAGTTAAGAATAATGAGTGATAAATCAATTTTTTTATTTAATTTAATAACTGAAATATTACAACTTACTAATTATTATATTTCAATTTTACTTTTATTTATAATTTTATCTAAAATAATTAATAAAACACTAATTAAGTTATAGAAAATTTTTGTTGTAACACACAAAATATTTATTGAATTCAAATTAGTTAATCATACATTTTCCAATTCTAATAAACTAAATTGCATTCGAACTTATACATGAAGTTAAAACCATCTAAATATGATTCTTAATTTTAATTTAATAAATAAAATCAAACATTATTGTGATTAAAAATTTAATATAATTTTCATTTAAAATTTTTAAAAGTAAAAAAATTCAATTATTTTAAATCTAAACATCAAATTTTAGTTATAATACAATATTTTTAATAAAAAACCTAATTTCATATATTATTTGTAAAAATATTTTTAAAATTTTACTTTTTTAATTTTAAATATTAAAATTATTTCATATGATAAATTTATTAAAAATCTCTCACATATTTATAGTTTTAGAAAAAAATTTAATAATTTAAGAGTTTAAGTAAATTATAAGTTATGATGAAATTAAATTTAAACAATTGTATAAATAAAATTTTAATAGCTCGAAGAAAAAAAAATATTGTAATTACTCTTAAATCAAATTAAATAAAATAGTGTAATTAAATATTATTATTGTTAAAAACTAAAAGGTAATTATGAAAGTGAAACCCTACAGGCAATCCCCAAATGCAAAATCCTTCTTGTTAATACTTCCGGTTCCGACTGAGGAGGCACCAGGCACCCCGTCGCTGTTGGCTTTGTGGTCGTTGCAGTCTCGTTGTCACCTGTAAAGCTTTCATTGCTCTTCTGAACTTGAGTTTGTGTTTTTTGGTTCCTTAGAGTCGTAATCGTTCATGCCCTCGAATCGTTGCGTGTGTTTGTTGTGATCTGCACATTTGAGAATTTTCCTTTTTTTCCACTTTAGTGTTCATTATGTGATTGTCAATTTGATACATGCACTGGTACGCTTACACTTCAGTATACGTGCATATTTTCTAAACCAAAATAGTAGCAATGACATATATTGTAGCACTTGAAATGAACTTTTACTTGCCAGGGTCTTATATATTTTCTAGTTTAAGTTTAAGGAGTTGCAGAATGGAAATTTGTAATGTAATTACATTCAATCTAGTAATGATTACAAACTGTAGAGCTGTCTTTCATTGAAGTACTGATTAAGCTGAAGTATCAAGTCTGCATTTGTTTGGGGTTGCAACTACTGCAGCTATGTCTGGTCAATTAATATACATAGGGCAATCATGTTGTGTTGGTTTGAATTTTATCATTTTTGTTCATTTCAATAGACCCACTGTTGATTGATCATTGAAGAACAGAGTATTGATATGGAATGGTTTGTTGCTTCTGCGTTTGTCCTAGTTGTTGGCATAGACAAACTTTTCAAAATCATGTTTGCATTTGTGTTATTAATGTCAAGTTTGAACTCCGTTATATTCTTGTTTGCTGCTACAATAGACAAACTTGTCCTTAGGATTCTGAATGTATGAGATTATACATCTTGTGCAGGTTTAGATTGGCTTACTGGCCTACCAATATGAAAGCTTGCTGGCCTATTTAATTTGAATTTGATAGGCTTTGTGGCTTATTTATTTCATCTATTTAAGTTGTCAGGTTCATTTATGTATATAGGCCTTCTGGTTTTTCATAGGCTTTATTATAAAATAGGCCCTTTAATTGGCTTTCAAGCTAGGTCATGCTTGTAAACGAGCTTGGCCGAGCCTATAAAAGGCCTTTAACGGGTAATTGGGGCAGGCTCAAGCCAAGTAATGTGAAACCAGGCCAGGCTTGAGCATTGCATAACCTGGTCTGTCTTGTTTCCACCTGTGTTATAAAAAAGAAACATGTCAGTTAATTGTGTGTTGGGTATTGACTGAGAAATTGCTTGCAGCTGCAGGTTCCCTTTGTGTTTGAATTTGATGGCTGTTTCTTATGTTCACATGGTTCAATCTGCCAGGGGTTTCCACAAGGGAAACCTCTCCTATCCCAGATGCAGTTACAAGCCCCGCGTAGTTCTTGCTTCTATGCATTTGTCAGACCCTAAGGTACTTCTCTGTCATTTAACCAATTAGTGTGTTTTCTAGGATTTGGTTGCTTCAGAAAAATGGTTTCTTGGCAAAATAAGGAACCTTGTTTGTTGATTGACCAAGTTGACAACACATCCTACAAATGATGGTTCTCATGATGGGATTTGTGTTGATGTCTTTGAAGTAGACTGTATGGTTTTGTGTGTGTGTATGTGAGTGTGTGTGTGTGCAATCAGGAACAGGGTTCAAGCATAGGTTTAGCTTTGCGCAAACTGTTAACATGTGAACTTACATTCACTTGGTAATATATGTTATTGGAGAATGAAGATCATTACCATTGTATAAACAGGGTCTTAGAGAACCCAAAGTGAACTGAGAAAAAGAAATTGCCACTTTTTTGACTATCAGTTATGGATGTTTGGTGTCTGGATTTCCTATGATTCTTTATCTAACAGTAGTGGACATCAAATTTTACACTGCATTGTGCCTTTTTGTCAGTTAGATTGTGTAGAAGTATCCGGTACATGCACCAGCTGTAGTTTGGTTTAAAAAAATGGTTGCTTTAGCATCTACGGTGCCTATTATGCTTATTGGTTAATGGATAGGATCACATGATTGAGAATCAGCTGGTAAATTTTTCTCTTTCATCATGTAGCCGTATATGGTGCAGAACAGAAACTAAAAGTTCTTTTTAATCTTGAATATATTGTTACTTTTGTCACATTTAAATGTTAAACTTTTGTCAGGTAGACTCATTCTTGGACAGTGTAAAATGGGATAATAAAGGATTGGCTGTGGCAATAGCTCAAAATGTTGATACAGGGGCCATATTAATGCAAGGTTTTGCAAATAGAGAAGCAGTGGCTACAACCATATCTTCTCGAAAGGCCACATTCTATAGCCGGTCACGATCAACATTGTGGACCAAAGGAGAGACCTCTAATAATTTTATCAATATTCATGATGTCTTTCTTGATTGTGATCATGATTCGGTAAGCACTTTTCTTTTTTCTCTTATTGATCTATTTATTTTTCCTTTTTGTTTTTGGTACCAAATGGTATGTTGATTACTTTTTCATCACCTGTTAACTGCTTCTCAGATAATATACCTTGGGAAACCTGATGGGCCTACCTGCCACACAGGGTCAGAAACATGCTATTATACATCAGTGTTTGACTTGTTAAAACATCAAGAGGTTTGCTTCAATCAATTAAAACAAACACGTCTCATTTTCCTGCAGAAAGACTTCAACAATACTCAAATTGATTTCGGTTATCTGTTACAGGCTCAAGGAAATAAATTGGCTTTGACCTCTTTGTATGAGTTAGAGACAACGATCTCCCAACGCAAGGCAGAGTTGGCACAAGAAAACGGAAAGCCTTCATGGACAAAGCGCTTGTTGCTTAATGATAAGTTGCTGTGCTCTAAAATCAGGTTGGATATCTTGCCATGTTTTGTTATTGAGTTTAAAATTAAAAGGGGAAAATTTTCCTTTTCTTCACTTTGCATCTCAAAAAAAACCATATTCTACATGCTTTTCAGTAGGCCTGTTCATAAAAACCAGTTTATTGGCCCAATCTATATTTGAATCCAAAACTGAATATATAGTTTACATTACTACAACAACAACCAAACCATATCCCACTAAATGAGGTCGGCACACCATTTAGTTCGGTCAAAAACCGAATTTTCAGAAATCTCAATAAAGAGTCTGCATCATCAAAAGTGAATTTAAAATCAGTCTATCCTATTTCTTAACTGTTTTGTTTCAATCTCCATATTTTCAACCATTCAAATCTTCAAATATCTAAATCCAAGCCACATTAAAAGAATGACATCCTGAAGGTGCTTTTACTAGGACAAGGACTGTGAATAATTAGATTATCTCTCTAGGAAATGGTGTTCCTAAGAGATAGATGTCATTTGATTGTATGCAAATTGGAAATAGTGATGGGAAAGTCGGGGAGTGCTTTGACGTTGTTTCCAATGATAAAGGTAGAGCAATACACACATCCCATTCCTCTACACGGTGAAAATTGATGACCATGCCACACTTTCTAGAATCATCACTTTTTAAATCTCCATTCTACATGGAGATCTCCTTCCATTTCTAGATTTCTGCATATGAAAACTGGTTTTGTATCAAAACCATTTTTTAAAATTGGTTTTGAACCAAGTTTGAAAAGAAAAAGAAAAAGATATGGATTAATTTTAAATCTAATCCATATAATGTTTTAAAATGTATCTGGTTTGGATTTATATCAAATCTAACTATGCACAGCCCTATTTTTAAATCATTGCAAAGCCTTGTAGCTGATACAATTGCCTCTCAATATTTTTATCAAAGAATTAAACTTAGTTGCCTTTCGCTTAAATGTATTTGTGCTGCTTTCCAATCAAAATTAAACTTTTACCTTGGTAAAAGATCTGCATTTAAGGTTGTTGTGAGTTAATAGGATGAAACTCTAATTTTGATTGAAAAACAGTGACAAACACCTATATAATTGCATTTAAGTTTTGTTCTATCTTCAAACATCACTTTTATTATAATTAACCTTGCTTGAGAATAAAGAAAACATTTGGACTGAGTGCTTATATCTTTATGATCTCAGATTGTAACTGTATCTTTCTACTTGCAGAGAAGAGGCAAATGAATTGTGTCAAACACTAGAGAATAATGAGGACAAGTCACGTACTGCGTCAGAGATGGCTGATGTACTCTATCATGCCATGGTTCTGTTGGCACAGAAAGACGTCAAAATAGAAGATGTTTTGCAGGTTCTTAGGCAGAGATTTTCCCAATCTGGTATTGAGGAAAAAAGAAGTCGTGTACCCGAGAAACCGGTGGATGATTGACTTTTCTCTCAAGTCTATATTTCAAACCATATATTTTGCTATTGGTGACATAGCAGGATGTACCATACAATTTCTTACCCGTGTGACGATTTTAAGTAGAGGGTAACTTATTAAATAATGTAGAGAATGTGAAGAACACCATGTAACTGTGGTCCTGAATTTTTTCTAGAGATCAGTTTTACAAATTTTTAGACGTTTTAAGTTAATGTATTGTTACATGCATGCTTATGGAGCAAACTGCTAGTCTGCAATGCGCAAAATTGGCCATCTTAGTTATTTGTCTATGTTGGACTGTTGAAATTTGTGTCGTCTTGTGATACCCTCAATTTAATGTTTTTATCTTTGACTTTTATTTCATACAATTCGTCTTTCTAATTGAAAATCATAAATAGCAAGTGCTTTTTCTCTGTTTTTTTATTCTTTTTGTTTCTCGCCGTTTTCATATTAAATGTAGTGTGTACACAACGTGAGAAGAAAAAGAAAAGCGAAGTATAGTCGTTTAGTGTAAGTTGAACAGGTCCTTTATTTTTTACTTGAAATAAGTAGTAGTTATTATTAAGCTGAAAAATACTTTTGGTCTTTAACTTTTGAGGTTTCAATTTTAGTTCTTGGTATTATTTTTGTTGTAGTTAGTTGTTTTAAATTAAATGCTTTTAGTTTCTAGTGACGATGTAGGTTAAAAAAATGAAATGTGGCATACAAAATTAACATATAATAACCTTTTAATCAGTCATGTCATGACTAAAAATCAAAAGCATTTAATTTAGAAAAGTTGAATTAAAACTAAAGAAAAAATGTTTTAGATATTATCATAATATAATTCTTAGGGAAGTGAAAGTTGTATAAGAACGTGAAGGAATAGTAGTGCCTATGCAGTGCAAGTGATAACATTATGCTCAAATTATCTAAGACTGCCCCAATTAGTCTTGGTGGCCATCTTCAGGAGCCACTCCTAATGAAATCAACATAAGAACAGCAAAAATTGAGACTACATGCTTGCCCTTTAGACCAATTGCTATTGAGCTTTTGTTGGTTGCAAAGGTTAATCCTCAACTGGTTATGAATGAAACGTGTCAAAGCTATCTATATTTACATGCTTTTGATATGGATGTGTTTGTCACCTTCACCATTGGAACTGGTGTGGTACATTTTGCATGATTGTAATTTGGTATTTCAACTGGGGAGGCTTTTAATACCCTTTAACTGTGTTATGAGGCTATTGGAACTATACCATAGAAAATTGTGATAACAATATTTTTTAATAAAATTTTAATATCACTTCCCCCTCCAAAAGAAGAAGAAGTGTATTTTATCTTTTTTAAAGCCTAAGTTTCTTAACACTGCAGTGTGTTGAGAACTGCAAATTGAGAAAGGAGTTGAGCATGCTGTAGGAATTTAGACTTCCATACTCAAATTATAATTTATATTTTACAACTTAACTAACTCAAAAAAATTAATCATCATTATTTAAATAATTTAAAATACAATATAATGAGATAAGGTAATAAAAACTATTTTATCTAATGCTTCTATCCCCCCCCCCCAATAAAGAAGTATGGGATGCCTTAATATCATATATACTCTTTCTAATTTTTAACAATGAACCATTTTATTTTAAGTTTTCTTATTTTAATTTAAAATTTATTTTTTAATTAATTGTGTATTTGTTTTTAATAATTTTGATCAATATTTTCTTTCAATTTAACATTTTTTTATTTTACCCTAATTCAGTCTTATAATTTTACATTTTTAAATAAATATATTTTAGTTTTTATTTTAAAATTTAACCAACTTTAAAAATACCCATTTATAAATTTTGCAAAATTTATATATTCTAGAAAGTAATTGATACTACATTGTATAATTTTTTTATACTTTAACATGTAGCATGTTATACTGACAAAAGTTGGTCGAGTAAATAATAATTAGATTATATATCTCAGAGGACATCCAAAGTAAGCCGATGAGCTCAATTCTTCTAAAATTTCTTTCACCAAAAAATAAAAGCAATATTATGTTATTTAGAATGTAAGTGGATGTTTATTTTTAAATTATATAGGTATGAATCTCTCATTTATCTTAAAATTAACATAATGAGAATAATATCACATAATTTAACGGTAAATTGATAATTTTTTGAAATTATTAATAAATAATTTTAAAATATTTAACATTTGATATCAATTAATCATTATTCTAAATTATAGTTAATACAGTTAGCTGAGATAAAAAGTCAGTTATATTATCTGTATTTTAATTACACTCACATATATATATATATATATATATTCACATCATACTCTATAATCACGAGTTTATAATTGCATTGAATAACAATTGCTATTCAGATTTATTCCTTTGCTGTCTATAATTCTTCTCTTCTCATTAATCTCTAACACCTTTTATGGTATCATAGTCGATGGAGCAGTTGTAATGGCCATAACCACGCAATCCACTCAAGTCACGAATCTAGTCTCAATTAAACTGGATGATGATAACGATCTAACATGAAAGATGCAAACAATGGAAACAATAAAAGCCAACAAGCTTCAGACATACATTTTTGAGAGAGATTCAGGAGCAAAGCCTAAGAAGGTTCTAAACAAAGAAGATGGATTTCTTGACAAGGTTAATATAACATTGAAACTTGGGATCAACAAGATCAAATGGTGTTTCATGGCTTCTTGCATCTATGTCTCCCATTCTTCAAACACAATTGGTAGGATGTGAACATTCTTATCAAATTTGGAAGAAAATAGAAGCACCCTTTGCATTCCCAAACTAGAGCAAAAATTAGCCAATTACGACTCAATTAAAGATTGTCAAGAAAACTGGTTTCATAAATGATTATGTTATTTCAATTAAAAAAAATTGTTGACAAGATGCTTCTAAACACATACAAGACATTGTTGATGGGTTGTCAAGTGAATATGATCCTTTGGTTGCCTCTATATTCAAGAACAGATCCTTAATAGAAACAATGTTGGTGGCATTTGAGGAATGAATTGAAAGACACAACAAGGGTGCATGTTAGATTATTTTAATAATCTTATTATAGTGGCCTATGTAACTTATAGCATGACTCTAATTAATAATTTAATGTGATGGTGGTTAAATATAAAATATAGAGTCATTGAGGGTATAATTATAAATACAATTATAAGGAAACCCTCCCCTCTCCCTTCATATAAATTAAAGAGCGGTTACCAAATAGGTTACAACATTCTCTATTCTCACTTTCACGGTCTCTGAGTGAGCTCACGGTAAACGCAAGAAATGAATTTTCTCTCAACCATCCGAGAGGAGCTGAAAGAAGAAGGAAGAGTTAGGGAAAATACCATAGGATCAATGACATCAAAGAGAGAGGTAACATCTAGAAACAATGGATTCAGGTTAGTGCTCTCTAAACCCTTAATTGTATGAGAACCATGTATTGTGTTGTGAGAACAACGTAATTCAAGATCTATTGGGAAATGGTAATTTCATAATAGTCATTGCATAATGAAAATTACATAATGGATTAAAGAAAGTTCTAACAGTTAGTATCAGAGCTAGGTTGTGAATTTTGTTGATTCTCCATAAGAGATTGGTTCTCTATTAAAGTTTTCCCCAAATTACATGAACCCTAGGTATTTTATATGATGGATTAGCATTATTTTGATGTTGAATAATTGTTTTGGATTTAATAATTGAAAACCCTAAGATTTTGAAAGCTAGAAACATTTTTGAATCTGTAATATGAGCAGGGCCATGTATCAGTGAGCAGGGCCATATATCAGTGAGCAGGGCCATGTATCAGGGAGCAGGGTCACGCATCAGGAACAAGCACGACCATGCTTCAACGAAGCACGACCTTGCATGATGAAAGCACGGCCTTGCATATTGTAAGCACGGTCATGCATCAATTATAAGCACGACCATGCATCACGAAGCACGACCATGCTTCAGGAAGCGGAGACATGCATTAGAAATGAGCATGGCCTTGCTTCATCGAAGCATGACTATGCATTAAGTAAAAGCACGACCGTGCATAGGAATTTTACGGCAGAATAAGGAATATAATTCATAAAATATATAGATAATTTTAGAATTACATCAAAGTGAATTTTACTCACCAAAGTGATTAAATTCTCAAGTTAATTAATTCTAAATTACATTATCATAATGAGAACTTCACAATTTAGTGCTTAATTTTAAGGGTAGCTTGTTGGTCACCAAAGTGACCTAGTTTTAAAAGTTCTTTAAGCATTTAATTGTGTGTTATAAATTGTTCAAAATTGTTTGATGCTATATGGAAACAAAGAGTAAACAATTTAGCTCATTAATTATAACGCTAGGAGATCGCCCAAAGGTGGATCATTGCATATGATTAATGACATTAAGGAGACATGTAAGCACTTCATACTATGTTTGTATATCCAAAGATGACTTACATATTGGTTTGAGAGATTAGTTGTCAATTAAAGTTGTTTATTAGCATCATTATAGATAAATTGTGTATTTAGACGTTACCCAAAAGTAAACTTAGATGCATAATTGATGACAGTTGATTATCCGAATCCATTAAGTTTATTTAAAGCATAAATGTTTAAGCATGTGTTAAATATTTCAGTCTCTATGAATGCGTATGGCATGAGCGATGACATAGTCAAGTTCAATGGGCTTAATTATGATGATTAGGCTGAACAAGTTTGATTCCACCTAGGTATTATGGACTTAGACCTAGCAATCATTATGGAACAAGAGCCTGTAGCCATCACAGAGACCAGTACTGAAGAGGAAAGAACTCTTCGTGAGGCTTGGGAAAGGTCAAATAGGCTGAGCTTGAGCTTGCTGAAGATGACTATGGCTGAAAATATGAAATCATTAATGCCAAAGATTGAAAATGCTAGAAAATTTATGGCAAAGGTAAAAGAGTATGCATAATCGGACATTACTGACAAGTCCATTATAGGCACCCTGTTGACTGAGTTAACTACTAAGAGGTTTGATTGGTCACAGTCCATTCATGACCATGTGACTGACGTGATCAATCAAGCGGCAAAGTTGAAATCAATGGGTACGGAGGTAAAGAAATTCTTTCTAGTACAGTTCATTTTAAACTCACTCCTTCCTGAGTTTGGTCAATTCCAGGTGAATTACAACATCATTAAGGATAAATGAAATATATAGGAAATTAAGGCCATGCTGGTTCAGGAGGAAGGGAGGCTGAAGAAGGTGAAAGAACACTCCATCTATCTCACATTTCATGAAGGGGCTAGTAGTAGCAAGGCTAAGCCAGGTAAGAAGGACAACAAGGACAAGAAGGATAAGGCCTTATTAAAGGTTCGTGAAGGTCGAATTCAGAAGGGCCA